CAGCTATTTCTATTAAAAAGTGGAACCCTGGGCCCTTACACGATTTCTCATATTGTAGATGCCATTCACATTTAGCTTCTTTCTTCTCTAACAAGAGTTTAAATGAAACAGTTGGTGTCTACTTAAGAAAGGAAGGTGAATATTGTAATTTGTTTTAATGCAGGGGTATCAAACTCAAGACCTCGGAGCTGGAGCCGGCCCATAGGGTGCTTAGATCTGGCCCAAGGGGCCGCCCTGGAAATAGCGAATGACCAGCCCGTGGTGCCTCTGTCAGGGAAAATGGAGTTGGGAGGGCCACAGATGGCCCACCCGAGTTCTGTTTTTGCTGGTAGAGGGTTGCAGGAGGCTGTCGCAGATGAAAACAGAGCTTGGGAGCCTGTTTTCGCTGCAAAGTGCTTGGGCCACTACAGGTGCCTCTGACACAAGTGACATTGAGCTGGCTACTCCCAGCCAGGCCACATCCATCCCGGCCCCCTGAGGTCAAACACAACCCTGATGCGGCCCTCAATGAAATCAAGTTTGACACTCCTGTTTTAATGCTTAATATGATTGATGAGATCAACAGGAATAATATTTTAAAATATATCAGAGTAATACAGAAAATGATTTTATTATGAATTAAAGGCTAGGGAGTTATGATAAATTATTCTTTAAAATAGGAGTTTTTTACCTTAGTACCCTTTATAAAAGACAAAAATCTATTACACTTGATGTAATGTTTCATTCAAAAACTGTGTAAGATTGAAACACAGACAGAAAAAATCATGGCAATGGTGCCTTGTCTTTTCTTTCAACTTTTGACTAATTGTTATAAGCCTTCTGAACAATGTTTCAAGTCTAGATTCAAGCAAAGAGAAGATGAGGACTAATATGGTCAGTAGCACATAGGTACATCTTACAGATATAAGTGAAGATGAAATATAACTCACTATAGTTAATGCTAATGATAAGCCGCCTGGGAAAGCCAAGGGAAATCATCAAAACCATAAAAAAGTGAAAGTTAGAATATTTTGGTCCTGTGATGAGACACCCAGAAAAATACAACATACTTCACTTAATCCTCCAAGGAAAGATTGAAGGCAAATGAGATTCACTTCATACTTTGATTTTTGCTCTTTGAACTTTTTACTGGTTTTTGAAGAACTGATCAACTCCATCCAGTCATGACTTTCTCAGTCTTCCCTTTCCTCTTGTCCAATTCACTTTTGCTTTATTTGATTTCCTATTCCATTCACATTCTCATCACTCTCATTCTTTTGGTATGACCGAACCACCACAAGGTTCTTCTTTTCTGCTGGTCACTCACTTTTTTTATTCAATCCACTTTCACTCATTGCCCATTTATACTTGACAATATCACCTCTTGTACAGACACATTTCTTAATGCATCCAATTTACTTTTATGTTATTCCCCAAATACCCACTCCCATTCCCATATAACAAAATTATACACATGCTGTTATACACACATGTAGTTTTGCATCATTCTTCACAAAATACCACATACCACCCACTATTTTGTATCAGCATTTGCTTCTCTCACAATTTCTTTCTCCATTACTCCATCCTTAGTAAACATTATATTGTGATATAAAAAGTGATCTGCTGGCTAATTTTTCACTATTGATGTATGTATAATTTGTATTATTATCCAGCATCAAGGGTTGGACACGACTGAATGGCTGACAATGACAAATTTGTATTAATATATAATTGCAACCGTGCACTCCATTTTTTTTCAATACAACTATTTTGGCCTTTGACACTTTAAATTTCATACTCACATTTTTCATTGCATAATATAATTTGTCTAAAATTCACTGCAAGTCATCCAGGTTCTTAGTTAACAACAGGACATTATATGCAGAAAAAAGAAGGCATGGATTTATGTCCCTGACAAATGAACCTCTAATGTTACCAGAAATTTTCAACACCAATTTATCCATAATTTGTATTAAGTACCCAAGAAGACATGAAGCACCCTTGTTTTACTTCCTGCTTAATATTGTACCACAAATGGAACAAGTATTACATTTCTTCGCACATTTTACATTTAGCTGATATCACTATACGTGTAATTCTCAAATTATGACTGAAATTGACCCCGGAATTTTGGTCATATTTTGAATGACCAGACTCAATTTTATGACTGTTATAAAAACTGAATGAAAAAAATCATTAAGTGAATCATTGTGCTAGTCAAGTTAATCATATGGTTGTTAGGTAAATCACCTGGTCATAAGTCTGAACCCAACTTATCCAATCAACATATTTTTTGCCAAAAAATGGCAAAAAAGTTACAAAACACAGTCACATGACCATGAGATGCTGCTACCAGTTGTAATGTGAGCTGGTTGCCAAGCAGCTGAAATGCAATCATGTGATAGTAGGGGTGGTGCGACAATCATAACTTTAAAGATGGGCTGTAAGTAACTTTTTCTGAGGCTGTTATAACTTTGAATGAGTGTTGAGCAACCAGTCCTAAATTGGGGACTATATATTTATATTCAGTAACCAACCATCCACTTCATAACTACACAAAACATTCCACAATTTATGCTCATTATCATATATTTCTTCTAAATAAATCAGAAACTTACTTTCTCACATTCACATATTTCTCAGTAATCTGAAGAACAAAAATATGCATAACGTTTCATAAAAATGCACTATACTTTCTATTTTTTTCTCACTGTGACTTCTTGTACCCTTTCAATCAGAATTCTGCCAAATAGCTTTCCAGACACACCTATCAAACTAATCTCCTGCAGTTTTTGCATTCCATTGTATTACCTTTTTCTCTATAGGGGAAAAAATATTATTTTTCTAGCTGTCAGCCATAGATACAATCTTCATGCATATAGTACATTAAATAAATCTCAAAGCCACTTAATGATCAAATCACATCTGTAAATGAACATTTTTTGTTATATCGTCTATGCCTGCAGTCTTACAATTTTGAATTGTGTTATCATTATGCAACATTGTTTGCTACTATTTCTCTGTATTCACACTATACATTTTCCAGATTTCCTTAATGTAGGAGCATTATGTTATTTTTCCTTTTCACTTTCACACACCTTATTTTATTTTATTTTATTTTATTTATTTTATTTTATTAAGGAATTTTTTTCATACATTCCATTAAAGTATCTACAGAAATGTCTGTGACATTCGACAATACAATTCTTTCATTCTCTTTCAGATAGCTTCTGCATCCACTTTCCTTATATCCACTTTCTATTTCTTTTGTTGGGAAAGTAATGCCAATAAAAATTAGGAGTAATGTCTGCTAATATTTTTTCATTTACGACTCATCCTTCCCCCTACTGCAGTAGTTCTACTTTGACGGTAGTTGCTTTTCACTTATTTTTTAAAAATGAGTGGGTCCTCAAAACCCACTCCTGATAATTTCCATATTCAGAACTTCACATCCCACTTGTATCTTACTAATGTTCTCAGTTTTCATCATAAGTGATCAAACTAAACATGCTTTTTATATTTATATTCATTCCTTTTTTACATTTTCACATGAATAGATTCATGGTTAACCACATATTCTGAACAAACAAATCTTTTTCTAAACAGATACCAGGAAAAGAACTGTACAAAATTGTGAATACAGAGAATCCTGGGCAAGCGTAAGTTTATTTTCCTTTTTTAGTTTTTTTTTCTTTTTTGTTGTTTTACTTACTTAATAAAATAAGTCTAAAATAATGAAGCTTACAGCTCCACTCATTAACCACACTTTACAAGATCAAAATAACTTCATTGACCCAGGTAATATTGAAACCAGTGCAATTCTATGTCCTCCTGGTACATATTGGAATTCCTGTATCATTGTTTTATTTTTTTTTCTTACATTGTTTTTATTTTGGTTTTAATTTTATCTGGCTTTAGCTGGGGACATTAGGACATTCTTCTTCTTTGGAAAAAAAAAAGTCAAAATCACTCTTTTTCAGGAAACTGATTTATAATGATTGCTATAACTAGACAAAAATTTTAAAGATTAAACTGAGACTAACTACTTACCACTCAACTCTTTCCCTTCACCTCACAGTATGACAGGAAGAATTGCATGGTAAAGAGTATTTAGTAACATGTTAAGGACAAATAACCTATCTTTTTAAAATCAACTAGTATCTTAAAAAGTTGCTGGTTACCTAGCTATGAACACCAATAGTATTTTGTGGTATTGATTCATAAACACACTTTTCTCTCTCAAATATCTGATAAATAAATCATATTATTTAGATAGATTTAATCATATACAAAAGGCAGTGTTGGGATTCTACCGGTTCGGACCATTGGGGCAAACCGGTACCTCTGATGATCAGCTGGGAGTGAACCGGTTCGTCCTGACGATCAAATGAGTCCACCTGCCCATCTGTGTGATTTTCCTCCCTTTATCTTCTCAACTGATTCGCGTGGTAGAGCAGATTGCTGTGCGAATCAGCTGTGTTACTCCTCTGAAGAAACCAGGAAGTGAAGATTTCTTTAAACTGCGTGCGTGAGCGCAGATCACGCGATCACTGAACCTGTTGTTAAACTGGGAGGATTCTACCACTGACAAAAGGATATTTTTATTCTAGGGGGACAAAAGAAATGAACATCCTCTGATAGAAGACAATGCTGTATGGAAGATGACTATAGAATAAAAATAGGACTATTACCAATTTGGCATTAAAATAAAACATTCTGAGAAAACATAAAGGTAGAAAAATATCCAGTTGCATGAATTACTGACATGTTTCACTGAAACATGATTTATGGAAAATTCAAGGTAAAGGAATGTCTATATAATTTTTTTTTCTTTTAAGAGAAAAAAAGATTGAATTCCTTTCCCTATCAAGCACAATACCAATTAAAAATGCAATGGCACTTCTGTACTGTTTTAATGTTAACAACTACCAGGAATTAAGCTCAACATTTTAAAAAATCTTTTTACCATTGATTTACTTAAAATTTTATTTACATAGATAAAAATTGTGCTTTCTTACTCCATGCAGCTACTTATGGGTGCACCACAGTATATCCATGTAGTACCACTGCTTTGTTCTGTTTCCCTGTTTTATCCCTTTGTTTTTTGTACCTAAAAAATAAAACAAAAACACAATAATTACCATCCAGAATCATTGGGAATCAGGTGGCCTCTAAATTCTATAAATGGAATATAAAATTTGAAAAGTTCTGATAACTATGAATGCAGTCCTAGACACATTCACTTGCAAAAAAGTACCACTGAATGCAGAATAACTTACTCTCATTGCCATTCTCTCTCCCTCATTCATTCATTCATTCATTCATTTGTTCGTTCGTTCGTTCATTCATTCCATCTATCTGTATGCTACTGAATCTAGAAGGGACTCCTACTGTTTCCAATAATTAAACTAAGAATTAAAACTTCCACAGTAAGCACTAATCAGAAAAATTAAAATATTTATAAAATATAAATAAAATAAAACAATACAATAAGTACATTAAAAAATAGCAGGCAAAGCAGATAACAAGACCTGGCAGTGGCTAAGAACAAGGAAACTGAAGAAAGAGATAGAGGGGCTAATTCTGGCTGCACAATACCAAGTCTTAAGAACAAATACATATAAAGTCAGAACTCAGCTACAGACAAAAAATGCTGTCTTTGCAAAGAAGCTAAAGAAACAAAGCATCACCACCTAGCTAGCTGGTATAAGAAGATCTCACAGACTGACTACAAAGAATGACACGACAAACAACAAAGGTCACTGGAAGGCCTGCAAGAAATATTATTTGCCTGCAAGGAGGAACTGATGGACTCACAAAATAGACAAAGCAATAGAAAATGAAGAAGCTAAAATGTTCTGGGACTTTAGAATTTAACTAGATAAGTGACCAACACATAATACCTCAGACTTTTGTCAATGAGAGAGACAAAAAAGTCTGGAAAATGGAAGTGGATTCAACAGAATAGAAGAGAAAGAACTGAGAAAAATAATTAAAACACAAATACAAATAGAAAGATGGTGGCAAAATGAAGCAAAGATGTTACTAATAGTAACAGGTACCTTGAGTGCAATCTCAAAACAACTAGAGCACTACTTGAACACCATTATCAATGTCAAAGTCACAATCAGTCATTTGCAAAAGGGAACTTCACTAGTAAACTGTTTACATCCTACAACAATAGGATGTAACTTCACTAGTGAACTGCTTACATCCTACGACAATACTTTGAACACCATAAAACAACATTTGCCTATCCCAGGTCCTTGAAAAGGACTCGATAAATGGATAAAAATGACAAATCCAATTTAAACATTTGGCTAACTTTGCGACAAACCATAATAAAATAATTTTATTTATATATCTATATCCATATATCTATATCTCTCTATATATCATCTATATATCTATGTATGTATTATCTCTCTCTCTCTCTCTCTCTCTCTCTCTCTCTCTCTCTCTCTCTCTTCTATCATCTATCTGTCTCTCTCTCTCTCTCTCTCTCTCTCTCTCTCTCTTCTCTCTCTCTCTCTCTCTCTCTCTCTCTCTCTCTCTCTCTCTCTCTCTCTCTCTCTCTCTCTCTCTCTCTATCATCTATCTATCTATCTATCTATCTATCTATCTATCTCTCTCTCTCTCTCTCTATCTATCTATCAAGGTAGCAAACTTAATATTGTATTAATATAAATTAATATTAGTATTCCTTAGTATTTCTGCCTGTTTTCCCCACAGTCCTATGAGGTGGATTAGACTGAGAGAGAATGACTGACCCAGTGTTATCTATCCAGCTTCCATAGTCTTCTAGAACTCATAATCTAGGCCAGTATACCTTAACAACTATACCAAAGTAGCCCTGAGATTAGTCCAGCAGCTCAGGCGGGAAACCCACTAGGCAGCACAGTGGCTGATACACCAGTGGAATCTCCACATTATCCCTTTTAGCAAAAAGATATTCATCGAACAGCCATCCTGGAAGGCAGAGGAAGGATATGAAACCTAGGACTGAAGAATTATGTCAAGGTGATATAACAACCATCTCCCACCCAGTTTTTGGTAATATGCTGTAGATCCCTCTAGGCCAAGGTGATTACTGATTCCACCATCAAGATCCAAGATCAGGTCCAGTGGGCTAAAATTAATGATCAACATCAACTTTTACAATGAACAATTCTCCTACTGAGCAGCAACTGTGGTGTCACCTTATGCAAAACTAATGTCCAACTCATTGAAAATACATGTGGTAGATTATTGTTATTGGTATGCATCTGCTGAAGGTATATATTTTTTTTCCACCTACCCACTTTGCTGCAATTTCCTGCACCTTGACCATTTGATTAATCATTCCTCAGAGTCAGGAAGACCTCCTGGAGTACTGCCAGACATGTTGTAGAGAGGTGTCATAAAAGGAAGGAATTGGCAGAAATCTGAAAAAAAAGCATCCTTATGATGGTGGCTTTCCAGCTGAATAGGGATCAAAGGAAGGTATTAGTTTGAACAGGCTTTGCAAATTTGGCAGCCTCCAATCCCTGTGGACTGCAGTTCCTTTCATCTCAGCCACCACAGCCAACATCCATGCTGGATCGGCGATAAAACAGTACAACTAGAGAAAGGCAGATGGGGCAAGGTTGGTATAGGCAGGGTATTACTTACCCCCCAAAAAAGTTTAAATGAATTGACTTTTATTTATGGACAAAAGAGAAAGCCTTGAGATAAAAGTAAACAAAGGAGGAATGTGCTTCACTTCTGATCATCACTTTACATGTGAGCGTCACAACCTTGGAGATAGACAGTTAGAACTGGCAGGATTCCATTGTGGAAGCCGAGTACTCAGAACCTGTGCATAATCTTTGGTTGCAAAAATTCTACCTTGCTGACTCACAGGTCAGAGACATCACCCCCAGTTGTTGATGGACTAGCGTCCACAAGTCTGACAAACAATTTTCCTGCCATTTGGGACAATGGTCAATCACATGTTTGAACTCTCTGGTAAAAAAAAAAAGTTTAAGTTTGCAAATTTCTATGGACCTATCTTATTCACCAAATGTCATCCAACTACAGAATACAGAATAATAGAGATGGAAGGAACGTTGAAGGTCTTCTAGTCCAACCTGCTGCTCAAGCAGGAGACTCTATACCAACAATGGCTAACCTTTTTTCCATCATGTGCCAAAAGCGGGGGGAGTGTGGGAGGGGGGGTCGCACACGCATGTGCCAACACCCATAATTCTATGTGCCTCACCCCCGTGGATGTGTGTGCGACCCCTCAGCGTTTCCCCTGCTTTTGGCACGCGATGGCACGGTGGGCCCAGTAGGCCCGTTTTTCATCCTCTCTAGGCCCCAGAGCCTTTCTAGGAGCCTGGGGAGGGCAAAAACAGCCTTCCCCCCCCCTGGAGGCCCTCCGGAGGCCATAAATGGCCTGTTTGCTGACTTCCAGTGGGCCCAGAAGGCCTGAAAGTTGAGCTTGCGTGCCCACCAATATGGCTCCGTGTGCCACCTGTGGCACGCATGCCATAGATTCGCCATCACAGCTCTATACCATTTTAGACAAGTGGCTGTCAGTCTCTTAAAAGCCTCAGGTAATGAAGCACCCACAATTTCTAGAGACAACCCATTCCACTGGTTGATTGTTCTCACTGTTAGGAAGATACTCCTTATAGCAATCTCCTCTAGATTGCTTCTCTCCTAGGTTAGTTTCCATCCATTGTTTCTTGTCTTGCCTTCTGATGCTTTAGAAAATAAGTTGACCCCTCTTCTTTGTGCCAGTCTCTCAAATACTGGAATACTGCTATCATGTCACATCTAGTCCTTCTTTTCTCTAGACTGGCCATACCCAATTCCTGCAACCGTTTTTCATATGTTTTATTCTCTAGGCTCTCCTAATCATCTTTGTTGCTCTTCTCTGCACTCTTTCCAAAGTCTCAACATCTTTTTTATAATGTGGTGACCAAATATTAGATGCAGTATTCCAGATGTGGTTTTACTAAGATTTTATAAAGCGGTACTGATACTTCTTATGATTTTGACTCTATCCCTCTATTTATCATAAGTGCTCTACATGGGGCTCCCCCTGAGGAGCACTCGGAGGCTCCAACTGGCGCAAAGTGCGGCCGCGCGAGTGGTGATGGGAGCGACGTGGTGCTCCCATTTAACACCTCTCCTGCGCGAGCTGCATTGGCTCCTGGTGGTCTTCCGAGTGCGCTTCAAAGTTTTGGTTATCACCTTTAGAGCACTCCATGGCTTAGGACCTGGTTATTTACGGGACCGCCTGCTACCACCAATAGCCTCCCACCGACCAGTATGCTCCCATAGAGAGGGGCTCCTCTGGGTGCCGTCGGCCAAACAATGTCGACTGGCGGCCCCCAGGGGGAGAGCCTTCTCTGTGGGGGCACCTACTATCTGGAACGAGCTCCCCCCGGAGATACGGAGGATCCCGGATCTGCGTACCTTCCGTTGCGCGCTCAAGACTTTCTTATTTCATCAAGCTGGCCTGACCTAAGTCTTTTCCCTTTTTAAATGGAAATTTTAAATTTGGTTTTAAATGATTGGGATTTTAAATTTGTTCAGCCAAATTATTTAATTCGTTTTAGTTTATTTTAAATTTTGTATCTATATGTTTTATTCTATGGCTGTTCACCGCCCTGAGTCCTTCGGGAGTAGGGCGGTATACAAATTCAATAAAATAAAATAAAAATAAATAAATAAAAATAAAATCAAGGATTGCATTAGCTATTATGGTTGCTGTGGCATACTCCTAGCTCATATTTAAGTGTTTGTCCCCTAGGACTCCAAGATCCCTTTCTCAGTTACTGTTTTTGAGCCAGGTTTCACCTAATCTCTACTTGATTAACCATGACTAACTATGTCTTTAACCATGGGTTTAGTGCACAGACCTTGTTGTACTATAGAATCACTATTACGTCCTGTTAATAGTAAGATCAGAAAATTCATTCCAAGTCTTTGCTTAGCTTGAACAGTGCACTAGTATTATAAAAATATTATTGCAAAATATTTTTGTATCAGTTATGCCAGATGCCCCCTTTTTTATCAGAAGGTCAGCAGCTCCTTAAAGCTTGAATAAGTATATTTTTTTTCCTCCCTGAAAGCTGTTCC